AACTAAGCAGATTTCGCCGGTTCATCAACTGTCTTGGCTGTATCGGCATTATCTTCATCTTCATTAGCTGCCTTGGTCACTTCGGCATCATCCTCCTTCACTTCAGCATTATCTTTCTCTTTGGCCGCCACTTCAGCACCATCTTCTTTCTTGGCTGCTTCTTCCGCATCGTTCTTGATAATCTGTTCGTACATCATGCGGCTAATGATGTCGAAAACTCGGTCCTCTTCAGCCTTGGCAGCCTGTTCGAGCTCAGAAAGGGTCACGGGGATATGCTTGTCTAAAACTGTATCTTCTCCCCCGACTTCAGATGACTTGGTCGCTTCAGACTGACCACCTTTCTGCGACAGCTCCGCAACTTTTCTCTCGAGGAAGGCCACAACCGACTTCCGAAGCTGCTCAGGAGTCATTTTCTCTAACTCTTCCTGTAAGCTGACTTCAGATAAGGTTTTCACATAGATGTTAGCCAGCTCCGACTTCTTTTCCTTCTCCCCCTCCAGCGCCATGTTAACAAAAGCGCGACGAAGACGAGCCTCCCTTTCTTGGCCCGACTCAGAAATCTCAAGACCGGCTTCGGCCCTGATGGAAGCAAGAAGGCCCTCACAAAAACTTTTCTCGTCCTCATCTGCCTCAATGTGAGTCGTCGCGATGGAAGGGTTGAAGTTATGGCTTCGAATTTTGTGCAGAAGGAACTGACGAACTTCCTCGATCCCATACAAACCGTCGTCGAAACGCTCAACCATCCAGCGTAGGTTGAGACAAGTGTTCATCTCAAATTCGCGATCCTCGTCTTCGGAGTCGGACTCCGCCTTTTCCTTGAGTCGGTTGGCCTCTGCCTCAAGAATTCTCCCTGCTCGGAGACCGTCATTATACTTTTCCTCGGCAAGTTTGATCTTTTCCTCCTGGAGTTTGCCGAGTTTAGCCAGATGTGCGTCTCGGTCCTTCTTCAATAGTTCTTCAACCTCGGACTGACTTTTCCGAGTAACCTCATGGGCTTCCTGCTCCTTCCGAAGGAGGCTCTCGCACCGAGATAGCTGCTCTTCTAGCATCTTCACACGCTGTTCGGAAGTGATGACTTGACTCGTCAACTTCAACACATCATTATCAAGGCTAGCCTTATCCGTTCTTAAAGCCTCGATTTCGCCCTGAGCAATCGTCAACTGTTCGGTTTGCTCATCAATCTTCACTTGCAGCTCCTTCTCCTTGGCTGCTGCTTCTTCTCTTAGAGATGCAAGTGCTCCATCTCTAAGTTCCAACGTATGCTTCTTCTCATCGACCTGGGCCGCATTAAGCCGAAATTCATCCTCGGCCATCACTAAACTAACGAGCGCGCGACCCAAACAAGCTTTGGCGTATTTGAACTTGTATGCGCTCGCCAACGAGGATACACCGATCTCGGATCTCGGATCCCATACCATCATAGGGACCCGAGCAGCATCTATGACATGGGCAGGCAGCTCCACAGTACTTGATATCTCAGGAATCTCAACCGATTCAAAAGTCGAGAACCACTTCTCGACCGATTCCCGAGGCTGCCTGAAGTTCAGAAACCTCTCCTCATCCATTGGCAAAAAGGATCGATCAATGATAGGTTCCTTCTTCTTCTCGCGATCACCGCCATCATGCTTCTTCTTTCTCCGTTCCTCGGCAGCTGGAATATCCTCTGCACGTCTCTTCTTCGACCGAGTAACGGGCACTTCACGCTCAACAGTAACCTCGTGGCCCTCAGGCTCATCAGAAGCCAAATCAATCACCAGCGGATTCTCTGCTATGACAGCCTCAACGTTTGGCTCAGCCTCAGAGACAGTAGCAGCCGCAGTAGAAGTCGCAGCAGCAATGGCAGCCATAGGACCTGCTGCTGCAATAGCCAGAGGATTAGGCTGCGAGACCACGATTGCAGCCCCCGACGTCGCACCATCCCCGACGTCGGTTTTTGGCGGATTCATGATAGGGTTTTCCAAGTAAGCCTTCACTAATTTCTTGCGACCCATTCCTGTCAGACGCAGCTCTTTGCTCTTCCCGACTTTAGTTCGCAGTTCCAAATTCGGACTCCTTTGTCGGAAGGCTCTAGCGTCACGAACAGTCTTGAAACCGAGCACTCCGAGAAGCGGATAATATACTGCAATTATAAAACCGAGTTATCACAATATCCAAAAGCTACCGACTTTGAATAAGATTGAAAAATTCGATTCAGATTTACCTGGCTGGAAAGAACCGTCTAAGATTTCTGGACACAATCCAGCAGCTTTCAACCTTGAATCCTTCAGAATCAACTTGAAGCCACGTTGTGTCTTCTTAAGCTTGAATAGTTCAGAAATTCTTCCTTTCAAAGTCGCACTGAGTTCAACTCCTTTGCTTTTGGCTGCAAATAGTAAAGTTGATGACCTGTTAGTACACAAATAAAAAGCAAGTCAGAACAAACTCGGTTTATTAGAAAGAAGGACAATACTTACAAACTGCAGAATTAATATTAATTGGAATCGACATTCCGTCAATCAAGGGCTTATTGAAATTCGGAGTCTGCCACTCCCCGCCGACCCACAGCCATTCCTCTTGGAACCCATGCAGCGAATCCGGGATTTCTGTGATCAGATCACCAATCTTAAAACCACTTTGGGGCCTTCCCGCGCAAGCGTAGCAAATCAAAGGATCTGCTACTTGCCTATCAGTACATCTCCTAAACGAGAAAAGGCTCCTTAACTCCTCAACAGTTGGCATATCCCAACCCTTTTCCTTCAGCAACACCCGAAGACCAATGATTCTCTTCCATGAGTTAGGCGCTAATTGACACAAACTGATCCCCCAATTCCTCAAATAATCCGTGATCAGAGCAGGAAGCGGAAATCTCAAGCCAGACCTCAATGAGTCGGCAAAAACGCCAACACAACCCGGAGGAGGACAAGTTATTCTTTCACCTGGATAAGGGGCAAACAGTTTTACCGAAGACGGGATATAAACTTCCCCACGAAGCATGACGATGTCGGCGTCAGTAAGAATACTCGGCTCTCCTCTATACTCGTCAATCGGCTCTGGCCACCGACGAGCAGGACGCCTCCAATAATCCGGAAGTGACATAGCGTCCTCTTCGACTCGCCTGTCCTCATCAATGATATCCCTATTGAGATTAAGACTCTTTACCAAAAGAGGATCCCACCGATAATACTCCAGAGGCAATTCCAAATCCTCATCGGTAAGGATCGGAATATCCGAAATCGTTCGGCTACTGCTATTCTCAGATTGCGCAGACATCTCTCCCCGAAATCGATACAAAAAACAGGAAAAATTCGAAGCAGAACAAAAAATGAGAAAGACTAGGGCAAACTCTTACCGAAACTTTCGAAGAACTTTGGATTGATGCGAAGATCACAGGAAAAAACGAGTGCACAGAGAAAATATGTAAGGAGAAAATTGCTGAAAGAACGCAAGAAAAATCGAAGAAATTAAAGGTACAGAAATCTTTTGCGCCCCAAAACCGACATCAATTTATAGGTTTTGATTTATGACCGTTAGAAGCATCCGGAAACGGCGCGTGTAACGAACGTATCTTCAAGGGACATAACGTTACAGTAATTATTATACCACGTGGCCACATCCCGAAACGCCATGTCGTTACAAAATTGTATCCGTTGGGCCCATTTAATGCCGACACGTCTTTTAAAGAGCCGCCATGTCAGATCAAATACCGTAAAGTGTCGAAAGAAACAAAGTATTCTCATGTCGGTAACAACGCAAAGCGAGTCGGAATAAGGTGAAACAACAGACGACATCAGCAATCATTTAAAAAGCTTCAAATACTTACTGATGTCGGGGGCCTCACTGTTGATATCAAATCCAGTAATCAGAATCAAAGGTACTAAAAGTCGGAATATATTATAGCAAATTACCGACTTCTTAAGAATTGCCGATTTCCGAAAGATCCAACTTCCGACAGACTTTCAAAAAAGGATCAAAACCGACATCCGAAACCGACGTAAGTAAACCGACTCCAAATCAACCGACTACCATAAAGTTTGAGCATTCCAACAGAAAGTAATCATTAGAAGCATCTGATTGGACCAACAAAACAAAAAGGCAATCATTGATGTTTCCCGCCGCCTCAAAACAAAGCAGCTCAATATTATGATAAAAGCCACCGTACTATAAATAGCAGAATTTATGATAGTACGAGGATCCTTCCGATCACATTGTACACGAACTTAAGACAACCTCGGTTTTCAGCTTAAAACCGACTTCTGTACTCTTGTGAACACCATCAATAATATCTAATCAAATAGTTATCCTTATTTTTCGAACATCAACTGTGTTAAATTTTAAGTTGCTAATTCAGGACAGCAACAAATATATTGACAAAACTTGCAGCTATTACCTTTATTAGTTGCTTGCTTTAAATTTGGTATATACTATATTAAAAAAAAAAGAACAAAAATATTTTTATTTAGAATTAAAAATAAATAAATAATTATTCATAATTTACGGGTCAATATTAATTTTGATATAAATGTAGTCAATTATTTATAGCTTAAAAAATTATTCAATTATAAGTTTTTTTTTTATTTATTTAGACAGTTCATACAAAAATAATTTTATTTTCATTAATGAAACAATATAAGTTTTATATTTATACTTATTATTCTTACAGGTTTTTAAATATGTGATAAAAATTTACCAAAATAATTATTTTATGGAATCAAAATCATAGTCAAATCAAATTTCTGAATATAAATTTTGAAATGACACTTATTTTAAAATGAACATAACGTAAGTTTTATCATCAGTGATCTGCACCGCAAGGGTTGTGTACTAATTTTAAATAGAAATTTCTATATAATTTTGATTCCATAAAATTGTATTGCATATTGATTCCATAATTTGAATTTATAAATATTATTTAATGAGACCTTTTAATTTATAAATTTTAATAAATATTTATTACCTACATTGCAAATTGCACGGTAGTTGAGTTAAAGATCTCTTTCAGAATAATATAACACTCCAGCAACTAGAACAGTAGAACCATTTATTTTTTAACTTTTAAGATCAGTTGTCCCCGCAAAGCGAAAGCACAAGAATGCACAGTAAGTTGGATCCACTATTTTACTCCTACTTGTACAAAATAGGACTAGAGAAATGTTCACGAGATTGACAAATCTACAAATCATGACAACAAAAACAAACAAATTGATTGAAGACGATAGTGTTCTTAAACTAAAGCGAAGGCTAAGGAAATAATACTTCAACAAAGCCCAAAACATAGGATAAAAAGGCCAATAATGCACTATCCACCTTGAAAAGCACTCACGCCTGGAAAATAAATTAAATCCAATAAGTAAACAAGATTCATCAAAATGTGCTTTTCGGGCAGAAAATATGTCCAGATACATTAAAAGCTTTCTGTAATTCTTACCTTGTTAGCAATGTTGTTTGAGAGCCAGTCGAGCCCCTCATACAGCCCTTCACCAGAAGTTGCACAAGTGCTCTGAATATACCTGCATTTTCAGATAGCAACATTTTTGAGCAATTACATGAAGTACAATTTAGGATGGAAAAAAAAGAGGAGAGTTAAGAGGGAAACACATAAAACAATATACCAATGACGTTGGCGAAGAGAATGAAGGCCCAGTTTGTCTGTTATTTCAGCAGCATTCATAGCATTTGGAAGATCTTGCTTGTTGGCAAATACGAGGAGAACAGCATCCCGCAATTCATCCTAAACGTGCAGAATAAACAAAAGACTTGATTATTGCAACAGTTTGATATTCATTGAAGCTTTAGATGGTATAATAAAGGCATGGCATTCACAGCATGCAGGTGGTAACATAAATCTTATGTTTTACTGGGAAGGTATAGTGATGGTGATGCACATTTTCTTTTTCTTTTTTTGCTTACTTACAATATGAAAAATAAAAATTTACTGAGCGAAAAAAGGGAGAGAAGGATCCAAAAGTCGTAGGCATTCACAGCATGCTGGTGGTAACATAATCTTATGTTTTACTAGGAAGGTATTGCGATGGTGAAGCACATTTTCTTTTTCTTTTTTGCTTACTTACAATTTGAAGAATAAAAATTTACAGAGCGAAAAAAGGGAGAGAGGGATTTAAAAGTCGTATGTGTACGGCTAGGAGGGATATCTTTCATATATTTCTGACTTGCTCCTACGGAAATTTCCAAACAAGCAATTTCAACGAAATCTTTCAACTCGGACCTGTTCTAAAAAAGTCGAGGTATTCCGAGGTTCATGGCCAAGAGGAAAGATGCGCGAGTAACGGTGATTTTGGAATGTACAAGTTGTATACGAAACAGTGTTAAGAAAGTACCGGCAGGCATTTCCAGATATATTACTTCATCTTACCTCATTCAACATTCTGTGCAGTTCATCTCTTGCTTCCACAACACGATCACGGTCATTGCTGTCAATAACAAAGATAAGGCCCTGAGTGTTCTGGAAATAATGCCTCCACAATGGACGGATCTGCATAACAGACAAGATACATGAATCTTGGAGGTCTGAACTTGGAAGGCACTCAGGTTAACAAAACTGAATTGATCACAATCAAAGCAAAAACAGTTGAAATTGTTAAACAAAGCAAAATTCTTTGATCTAACAACTGATTAAGTTATGCTAGCATATCGTGAGGGATAAACAAGAAAGCATGCGTACCTTGTCCTGGCCCCCGACATCCCAGACAGTGAAGCTAATATTCTTATACTCCACTGTCTCTACATTGAACCCTAAATAAAACCAAACCACAAGCTCAACATCAAAGTGTTTGTCTGAAAACAATGCTGACGCATTCATAGACAAGTAAAAGCAAGAATAAAGTGAATAGACATTAAAACGCACCAATAGTAGGAATCGTCGTGACAATTTCTCCAAGCTTGAGCTTATATAGAATGGTAGTTTTACCAGCAGCATCGAGACCTACCATCAGTATACGCATCTCTTTCTTGGCAAAAAGCCGGCTGAAAAGCTTAGTGAAAGACAACCCCATCTCTGAACTGCAAAGTAGTATGCAAGTAACATACAGTTCAGAACAGAATCGCAAAGTACCGCCAACAGTAGGCAGGCAATTGCCATTTGCCATTTCATGTTACACATAATATAGTCAGCTGAATTAACATCAAAACCATCTAGGATCATATATCACAGACTATCAAATGTATCTCAAACATAATTTCACAAACGGTCTAATCAGAAATTACTGAAACCATCAAATTGGAATCAGTACTCCAGCAAGATGAGGGAGAAAACAAAAGATCTCAGATCACCCAAACTGGATCGAGCATCAGACCGGAAACTTAAGTCCAAGTAATATCAAATGAAAAGAGGATATGCATTTGCTATTTCGTTTCGCAAAAAAAAAAAATTAAATCAAATTCATACACAATAACCATCAAATGGGATCGATGACGAGGATCTATATGTGAATCCATATCACAATATAATATAATCAGCTGAATCAATATAAATCGGAACCCCATATGAAGTCTATTCTTCTGACAGTAACATACATGCATGAATAGGATATGATACACCATGAACAATAGAATCTAGGATCATAAATCACGGACTCAAAAACATCATTTCACAATCGGTCTAATCATAAATTACCAAATCCATCGAATCGACAACAAATACTCAAAAAGATGAGCGAAATAACAAAAGATCTCTTATCACCCAAACTGGATCGAGCATCAGGCCGGAAAATTAAGTCCAAGGAATATCAAATGAGAAGAGGATATATAATTTGCCATTTCGCTTCTGAAATAACAAATCAAATTCATACACAATAACCATCAAACTAGATCTAAGAAGAGGATCTATACGCGAATCGCATCACAACACACGGTCAAAGAAAAATGAATCGATTAAGAAGATGAATATTGATTACATACATTGAAGAGGAGCTGTAGGAATTGAATGGTGCAGAGATCTCTCGCTCAGCTCAAGAGCTCTCTCCAACCAGCTCCAGATGATGATGACTAGTCGTCTGTTGGCGTAGGAGCTGAGCACGACGCGTTTTTATTTGCAGGAAGGATCTTATATACTACTTTTAGGGGTGCGAGTTTTAATTCCGTTTTCCACCCCTAATATATAATTTATGAGGAAAATCTCATCTCTTATCGCCGTTTTTTCGTTCAGCACATTTCCGTGTCATGTTAATGAGCTCAATATTTGCAAATAAAAGCTCGTTTTAATTTGTTCGTGTTTATAATTCATTTGTTTGCTAATCGAATTGAATTTAAATAAAAAATTAAGCTCATTTGATAATTAAACAAACAAACACAAACTTGCAAACAAGTTCGATAATATTCATTGCCACAATTTAATATAATTTTATTTTTATTTTATATATTTATATGGTATTTTTAATAAAAACCTTAAATATAAAAATATTTTTATTTTATTTCTTTGTTTTCGAGTTCGAACGAACAAATTTCAAGTTTATCAAAAAAATTTAAAAAAGTTTGTTTCTTAAATTTTTCGAATATGAGCTTATTCAGAACTTTGGCACAAACAAGATTAAAATTCTCACTCATATTCAGAACTTTGACACAAACGGGATTAAAATTCTCAAGTTCAGCTTGTTCAGTTTGATTATAACACTAGCTCCCCAAGTTCCGCTTGTTCAATTTTATTATAGCTATGCATGTGTAAGTTGATCAAATGTTTATTTATTTGATTATAGCACTAGCTATATGTATGTGTTCAACGGTTTATTATTTTATTATTCAACTAGCTATATGTATGTCTACGTTGATCAAATGGTTGATTGAGTACTGCAAGAGGATCAAAAGCTCCCCTTTTTAACTTATCAAGAACGAACTTGAGTTGGAACTTCTCATATTTATCATTATATGAAGTGTTCGAACTTACTAGAAACTGTGCGACAATAATCAGACGAGTTTTTAACGAACAACGCGAAATAAATATCGAGTAGTTAGGTTTAATTTTCAGCTGTACTTTTTCCTTTAAAATAATGGATTGAGAATTAAAACCATCTAGTATAAATCAGAAGGGATTGAGAAACTAGAAATTGGGTTATTAACAAAATGGTAAACTAGAAACCTGAAGGGATTGTTAATAGGTAGGTTGAACTAAAAATGACAGCAAGTGATCTATAAAATCAAGCTAAATCAAGTTGAACCGATATGCAAGTCAATAATGAATAAAAATTCATCAGAAGCATCATAAGCAACGAAGAGTAACAAACAAGGCAACATAACTTTCATCATAATCCTTTATTCATTCAAGAAACTAAAAAAAACTAATCCCAGCTTCAGAAAATCTTCTCAGGTATGCGTTATTAGAACTTTGTTCGAAAACAACAATTTCAATCTAAGCATTACAGAAAAGAGCGTTTTCAGTTAAAACTAGAGTACGGTCTCCTGAGCAAAAACCCCTGAATTTCAAACTCCAGAACGGAAGCTAATGACAAAATCATCATTGAAAGCCTTTGTCCGACCTCAAGCGGCCGGTCAGGCAGAAGACATGTCAGCATGTCCCCCAACCATCCTCTCAGCTTTTTCTCCTCTCTCGCCTGAAAAAGAATCTTCCTATTCATGCACAGAGAAATAGACATATTTAACAGACACTAAATGGAACTTCTATATGTATCCCACTCTCACCTGTACGGACTCTTATTATGTCTGCTACGGGGGTCACTGCATAATAATAGAACCATTTTAACTTTTACCTTAACAAACACCAAATAAAGATGAATCTCATTTCTTGAGCAAAAGATGGCTATAAATTGAAAAAGAAAAGTGAAAAATGCACTCTTACGGAAAATCTTGCCATCTCCAATCTCTCCAGTCCTTGCCTCGTGTATTATCTTATCAATAACTTCTTCAACCTAAGTCAACATAAGCCGAAGTTAACAACTCTGTACGAAGTTCAGGTGGATTGTAAATGAATGGGTAGAAATTGAGCGATATTGTAATTTGGATTAAGCACAATTACTGCTTCCAATTCCTATACCTGATTTTTGCTCACAATAATTTCCATCTTAACCTTTACAACAAAATTGTCCTCGGAAAATTCAGAGCCTGAAGAAAGAAAAATATTGGATGCAGGAATGAAGTCAAGGTGCTTTTGGGGAGAAAACACAAATACACAATAACAAAATCTAGTTGTATAATATGAACTATGCCTGCTTGTCTTTCTGGTGAGCCACCTTGAGCACCAAATCCTCGTACATCAGACACGGTAACCCCACGGATTCCCATTTTCAGCAAAGCCTTCGTTATAAACCAATAACATTTTTGGGAAACATGTAAGTATTTCTTCCAGTTTAGAAAAAAGGAAAAAAAAATACGACGAAAAACAAATCACCAACAACAGCAACCTCAAATAAGGATAAGGGTATTCAAGATTCAAGGATCATAATAGCAATTCTTAATTCTTATGCTTCAAAGAAAAGAACACCAACTTGCATGTTGCTTACAAATTTAAAGCGTTGGCTAAATGTGACCATTTTTTTTTCTGGGACTTCAAATAGAAAGCTAATATTCACACGACATTTTCAGTCAGATGCAATATATTTAATGGAATGCCACCAAGTACGATATCATGATGAATGTAATTTTAACATATTCTCTGTGATTATGATATCCCTTCAGAACTATTTAGTGGATAACATTAGTATATAATTAGGCAAGCTAAGTTTCTTATTGCTCATGAAGCCAAACTATAGCTCATCATGTTAGCCAACAATGGGAAGAACAAAATCCAATAACGGCTTAGCGATTGAGGACAAGTCGCAGCCAAACAAAGTTGACGAAGCCGTGTAAGTCGAGCGCATTAAACTCTAAATAAATGGTCTAATTGAGGAGCTACATAAAAATGAAGAAAACGTAAGTGTTAAGATTAGAAGAAAGAAATGGGGAAAGAGCCATTAGATATTAAGCATGTAATCAATATTGAATCGTTTGGAATAATGCACTAGGCCTTACCGATGAAACCTGTGGGATCCTCCATGGCCTAAGTTCCCCGTACATAACAGCACAAAGCAGAAAAAAAATAAATAAATAAAAACACCAGCACTATTAGAGTGAGAAAAACATCACTGACAAGCAGAAACGAGAAACAATTCAACAAACCCATTATAAATGAAAGTAAGAACACATCAATTACACCTTAAAATGGCTTCAACCTTGTAGAAATTGGCCTCAGGCACGTAATCTACCACGTCAAAAAACTTGATAAGAAATTTCGTGAGTTTGAAAAGGAAACCCATCTCCAGCGCGATGAATACCAGCTTGCTAAACATAATTTAAAAGTAACTATCAATAGGGTGTCGTGTTCGAACCTGTCGAGCCCTGAGCTCTGATAATCGGAAAGGACGATCCATTTGCAGAGCGAGTAAGGACGAAATTGGGCGGCGAAGGGCGGAATCCTGTCGGGCGCGGAGCGAGTGAAATGGCGGCGAATTTAGGGGGGTTTGAGGGGCGCACCTGCGGCGCGTTGGCGGCGTACGTTAATTTGGCAATCGCGGTGGAGGCCATTGGTGAGGATCTGTGGATGTGAAGGTTACGGTGAAGGTTGTGAATGAATTGAGACAAGTAGAAAGTAGAAAGTAAGAAATTGCTGCTGACGGACAGTAAGCCTGCGTTATACGNCAAAATAATAATACTTATAAATATATATAAGTATATTATATTATTATTTTTAAGTCAAATAAAAATAATTGTTCTCAAACAGCAAATTCCCAACTGGAGTAGTCGTCGACAATGGCTGCGACCAAAGGATTGAAAGAAGATGAAGAAGAATTTGTGTACAGGATCAGCACCGCCGCGGAGTGGACGGAGCTCCATTCAACCGGCGCTACATTTGGCGGAGATCTCGATAAGTCCACCGCCTGTTTCCACCTCAGCAAGCTCGATCAGGTCGTGCCCTACTCCCCTTCTCGATAAGTCCACGCTTGTTTCCGCCATTGTTGAATTCAGGTTCAGCTTATAGTACCTTCTACTGCTGATTGTAATAACCATTATCTATGGGGAAGTGTTTTTGTGCTTTTGATTTCCAAGAGTGATTAGCTAGCTCCTCAGATCGATTTTATCAGTTGTAGATTGTTTGAAAAAAGTGATGACTTTCTGCATGTATGGTGTATTTTCAAATATTGTTTGATTTTTATGCATAGTAAACCATGCTTTAAGTTAGCTCTGCAAGTCACAGTATGTAATTTTTCAGTCCTGAACTTAATAATCCAAAATTTAAGTTGTTGTATCCGATTTGAAGTGACTGTTTGCTCCACCGCCTGGTTTCTCGTTGAAGCCGATTCTCTTGAAGAAAGTAGTATAGACTGAAGTTCACTCAAATGTTTTATTGAGTCTCATCCATGTGAGTATAAGCACTTAAATGTACATAAAGTTATGTACATGTAGCATTATTCCCAAAGCAATACAATTTCTCATCTTATGATATCCATTAAGGGCTCGTCTACTTATCTTGATGAATTAGGATAGTTTTGTGGCATGGTGTTGGATATCACTGTTCAGATAGTATGTTTGTTTGTTTGGATCCAGCTGATTTGTGCTTTTGTTGTAGATAAATGGCTATGGTTTTCAGATCAATACACTCGATTGTAATGTTTAAGTTGTGATGACTTTCTGCATGTATGGTGTGTTTTCACATATTATTTGATCTGATATGTGATATATCATGCTTTAAGGTGGCCGTATATATAGTATTTTTGCCCTGGTGGATTTCTCTATCGTTTACTAAAATTATGAAGGCTGATTTGTAGCACTTCACAGCCACTGGTAGACAATTTTCGTTTTGAACTCATCAGTACAGAAGGCACTGATCTGAGATTAAAACCTTCTAGTATAAAATTTGGAAGAATTTTGTTTTCATTAATTAGTTTATATGTTTCTTCGGCCCGTAAGGATTTTAATGTAGGTATCTGTCGAAAGATTTTTATTAAAAAACAAAAGAAGAAGAAGTAAAAGAAGAAGAAAAGTTTTGTGGAATTGGGAATGTATTCGAAGGATATATAACAACTCTTGTTTATTAATTTGCAATTCAGAGTAATTATGTACTTGCAAAGCTTCAAGCTTGTTCCGACAATTTTGCAGGTTCAATCCACTCTGCAGAACTTTTTCAGGAATAGCAAGGAAGACCTTTACCTTCTGCAGATTGATGCTAAAAAGGTGTGGAAAAAACTGTAAACCTATCGACTCACAAGACCAATCATTTGTTTTCTTCAAACCTGCTGCATTTATTTGTGCATGCTGACCTAAAATAACTTGATACAGCTTGGAGATGGGTTGATTTATGAACCTGTGGATGAATCCAATGTGTTCCCGCATTTCTATGGTCCATCTCGGAGTTTCAGTCCTCTTCCACTGGATGTTGTCATAAAAGCAGAAAAACTTAGCCTCATGGACGGCAAATTCAGCTGCAGCTTCCTGGATTAGTTTCAAATTTCAAATTCTGGTTTAGTTTGATTTCATGGTTTTACGTGCTGATCTTATCTTTAAGCTGTGTTGGATCTGTATTGTTCATGTTACTTCTCTTATGAGATACAATATTACTGAGAAATCAGAGATCTGCAGTTGAAAAATATTCTGTCTTGTTGCACATGGAAAGCAATGCCTTCACATTTGGTCAAGAACTGAAATTAGTATACTTACAGTTGCATGAAAAATGATGTAGAGCATGTTAGACAAAAGGGAGAAGATGAGATAAATCTCGTAAAATTTCAATAATCTGATGATGAAAGTCGTCAGGCCCTCGAACAGATGAGGGGAATATATATAAAATCCTAACTCTCTTATTCCTACTCAACTTGCCTAACAAGATAGGCTAGCTAATTATTTAATTACCAATACTAAACAAATACTAAGGAAATAAAATAAAAGGCATTATGAATAACTAAATACGAAACCGGTCATATTTATCCAAGAATGCCATTTGCGGTCTCGTCTCCATAAAAAAATCATTTAAGCTTATTATAATTATATTCATTCTTATTTCATGACCAATCACTTAATTATTGGGTGGTGTAATAGAATGATTTAGCTCAAACTTCATTCTGCCATTTTAGATGGCATTTCTGTTTTTGGCTCTATCTACTCTATATCAGTTAAAAGCAGCAAATCTGACACTAAACCAGGAAGTGGGAACAATAGGAAGGGTTGTGCGTGCCTGTCAATTGATGATATTGGACAAAATTGACTCTTAAGGCACGGTTGGCCAAAATTCTCATTTCCAAAAGCAACACTGACATTAATAAATAATGAACATGTTGAAATGCCTAAATTTTCTTTTGTCGTGTTATGACTAAGTTCCCCGTTGAAGAGCTATATATATCCTTCAAGCTGTGATGATTATTGCATCAACAATTTTCTATCTCAGTGAAAATGGGCTCTCACAACATAGGCTTCTTTCTTGCTGTCGTATTTCATGCTCTTTTCATATTTTGTCTACCATTTGTTGTTTCTCAATGCCAAAAAAAGCCAGTGATCTTCAACTTTGGCGACTCAAACTCTGACACAGGGGGTTTTTCAGCTGCGACTGGGTTCGAGTTCGGATACCCTGACGGACGGGCCTTCTTTCAAAAGCCAACAGGCCGGTTATGTGATGGGCGTTTAGTCATCGACTTCTTGTGTAAGCTAAAAATACTCCTCATCATACTCATCAAATTAATTACTGTACTATAACTCAGCCATGCCCATGCAAATTTCTATTTGACAAAAAAGAAGAGAACAATGACTGTTCAACCAATTGCACTTACTTACTTAAAGGAAGAGCGAATGAAATTCTAATGCTAAGCTGTCTTAATTCGCAGGTGAACATTTGAAGGCTAATTATTTGACACCCTATCTGGAATCAGTGGGACCCGATTTCACAAATGGAGCCAATTTCGCGGTAGGCGGATCAGCCACTCACCCGAAACACGTCCCTTTCAGTTTGGATATTCAACTTCTCGAGTTCTTGCGCTTTTACAACCGTTCTCTGGAGATGCATTCTAAAGGTTATAACCTAATGAATTTTCAATTCCTACTCTGATGAAAGAGAAATATGTATTTTTTTTTTTTTAAGAAAATGATATTTTTTTTTTTTTTGGAATATACTGGGTATGTTGTTGTTGTTGTAAGAAAATGATATTTTTGAAATAAAACATTGCCTCAGGCATAAAAGATCTGGTTGATGAGAAGGGCTTCAAGAACGCACTGTACATGATCGACATTGGACAGAACGATTTATCGGCTGCATTTAATTCTCTTTCTTATGCTCAAGTTATTGAAAAGATCCCTTCTTTTATCTCTGAGATAAAGAGTGCTATATCGGTAATGTGGTCAACGTCAATTCTATTGAGTTATTTACTACAAATCACATATTCTGACAAGAAACTCGAATACAGGCCATGTACGAACGTGGTGCAATGTACTTTTGGGTGCACAATACGGGCCCGCTCGGATGTCTGCCTGCAAAGTTAGCCACAAGTAAGACCAATGCCACTGATTTCGATAAACACGGGTGCATTGAGCAAATGAACGAAGGCGCAAAAGCATTCAACGCTGAATTAGCCGCTCTTTGTAAACAACTACGTTCTCAGATGCAGAATGCCACCATCGTCTATGTGGATGTCTACTCCATCAAGTACAACCTCATTGAAAACTCAGCCTTTTACGGTAAAGTATTTTTTGGGATTTTTTTTAGTTAACCAGTGTTAATTTGAAAAAACGTGGCATGGAGTGGAATTTTTCGTTTATATTAAAATAATATTTAAAATAAAATAATTATAGTTGATTTGATGTAAAAGTAGGAGAGAGATAATGTGAAGTGATGATTAGTTAAAATTACGTGAGATAATGAACAATGAATTAAATTTGATGAGATGTGTAAGGAAGATTGATTGATATTATTTAATTATATTGATAGTATTAAGGATAGTGAGGTTGTATTAAAGTCGAGTTAGATTTTTTAAGTTGAATTGATTTTTTTATTTTTATTTTTATTTTATTTTTTATTTTTTATCCAAGCATCCCCTAACATTTTTCCTTAAAACTACATATATTTTCGTCCTAATTATGACTGAAAAAAGTTTTATCATTGTAAATGAAAAAGGTTTCAAACATCCATTGGAGTCGTGTTGTGGGCATGGTGGGCCGCCGTATAATTACAACTCAAACGTTAAATGTCGGACCAAAGGATACAATGTGTGTAAACCGAGCTCGATGCACATATTCTGGGATGGAGTTCACTATACCCAGGCTGCTAATGCGCTTATTGCCCATCATATACTCTCCACCAAGTATTCTACACCTCCTCTCGGCTTCAGCTTTTTCTGTAACAATTAATGCATGAAACTTGTCCAGCTTCAGTGCCTTAAAAGACTACTTTAAAAACTTTATTATGGTGTAAGAGTTGAATAAAATTGCTCGATATATATATATATATATGGAAAATTGTCATCTGTGTTAGATTTAATTCTGTAAAATTTATCATTTATATATGCGAAAAACATGTATAAACGATAAGTGTGGTGCAGGTGATATTATATATACATAATGATTGTACCAAATAATGACCACTCCCTACTCCCGTTTTCTAGTTAAGTGGGAATGTTCCCATAATCACCAAGCTATCGTGGAAGGCACAAAGTCATTTTCGTTAATGAGTTATTTTATTATAATTTGCTATTTTGTGAGATGTTAAATTATTTAAAATAACATTTCATGTGCCTAAATTTTGCATGGTTGCCGCTGTAAACCTATCATGCTTATAAACTTCGACTAGGATAGCTAATGTCGTATCCATTAGTAATAATGTTAGAATTTATTAGTCAGATAATATGGTTTTTTTGACTCGTGTTGTCCATGTTTTTTAATTCCTTTTCTATGCGATCACGTGATAGAATTAGAATTACGGAGATAATTGGTCGGCTTTGGACTAGTTCTTATTGCAAGCCCACCACCTTAATTTTATATATGGGCTGGAGGCTGCACTTTGTCTTTGGCCCGTTGTAGTTCGATCTATTTAGTAAATTAGGCTATACTATTATAAACTTGCATTCTCAAATACATTTGACTTGTGTTGGTATATACAATCTTAAAGGTGAAGAACAAATATCTCCATACCCTACTCCAAGGTCTCTGTGTGTGTGTGTGTGTGAATTACTGCAAATAAAGTTGTTTTCCTTATATATAGCCAACATACTTAATTGAATTATTTTTTGGTATTTTATTAGTATATGCAATAATGTTATATCAGACTCTAGGAACATTCTAGGAGGTGAGCTTCAATGATTTAGCAACATGTCCCAGGATCATAATTACAAGGATTCAAGGATCTTGAAAAGAATTATGACAATTGTCACACTTGATGTGAATTTAAAAAACGATGTATTGATAAAAAATAAAATACATATACAACATCAGTCACTAAGTTAATACCCTGCCTCCTATTCATTGGCTGAGAAAAAAATGAAATACTCACTATTAAAATCTTAGGTAGCTATTTTTTGTCTTGCCCTTCAATTAAATTATTTCTTATCAATAATATCTAATTGCTAGACAAAATCATTTGAAGGGCACCCAAAATTAAAACAAATTAACAACATGCATTATTTGCACTGATTTCATATTAAAGCGAGTCTTTTTTCTCAAGTACCACTAATAGTGTTGTCATATACAATTTTATGTAATAATGTTGCAGGAAGATTAGGCATTACTCATTAGTGGGCTTTGATATATATAACTTTGTAGGACTAAGATGTCTCATGCCAACCTTGAAAGTACGAAGCAACATGGAACGTGTCCAAATTTGAGGGCTTTTTTGAATATATTTATAAAGTGCACAAAAAAAAATAGAAAGGGAACAAAATATACCCAGGGCTCTTTTGAATAGTAAATGAATTAATTCATTTTAGTGTGCACTAAGTTTAGGTGTTATTGTTGTTGATTGTCATCAATCATCATCATCAGCAAGAAAACATTTATAACTTCCAAATTCTGTTGCCAATTGATGCTTGTTTTATGATATAGGACATCGACAAATGTATATATTAAGCAAGATGATAATGCAATATTGCTGCACCACCAAGCTTATAATTAGGGTTTATTATTAGTTGACGATACTTTTGAATACTGTAGAGACTGAAAATATTTGTTAGGCTGATACTTTTGAATCAAAAAAAAAAAAAAAAAAAAANAAAAAAAAAAAAAAAAAAAAATCCGGTTGCCTACCAGCTTTGGTCGAGAAAACTATACGGTAATATATTCCAACGAGAAATCATACGGTAATATATTTCAACGGATATTTCAATGGTATAGCTTCTCTTGGAATGATTCCAACGAAAACATTGCATTACAGTGACTTTTCTATTGGAATTTTAGATAGAATTTGATTATCCCAACGGCTATTTTTCCAACGGTTTTTGACCGTAAGAATTTCCGTTGGAATTTTTATTTCCACATCTATTGGAAAATCTACCGTTGGAATCGTCAAAATTCAACGAAAATTCCAATGGACAACTCATTCAACGAAATATTTTTGTTGGAATTCCATGAAAATATATTTGTATTGGAATGTTCGTTAAAATTTTATAATATTATTGTAGTGGAAATTGAACTTCCTATCTTTGCATTACAAGAAAATGATGAAATTAAAACGGAAATATATTTCAATAGAATTTCAATTACAATTCCAATGGATATTTTAATGCTATTATTTCTGTTGAAATTTTTTCAATGGATTCCAACAGAAATTTCAACAAAAATATTCCCGTGGAATGAGTTTTCCATTGGAATTTCTGTTGGATTTTGACGATTGCAACGGTAGATTTTCCAACGGGGATAGAAATAAAAATTTCAACGGAAATTACATATTCCAAAGGAAATTCCTATGGTAAAAAGGCGTTTGAAATATAGCAGTTGGAATCATCAAATTCCATCTAAAATTCCAATGAAAAACACATTCTAACGGAATATTTTTGTTTGAATTTCCGTTGGAATCATTCTAACGGAAGATATACCATTGGAATATATGTTGGAATTTCCATTGGAATATATTATCATAAAATTTTTTGTTAGAATATAATAATTTTTTTATAGTGTTGCTAAATCTTCACAAATATTATTGTTTGGCTACCTAATTGTTTGACGNATACTATAGCATAAAATGTCATATTTATGTTTTGTTATATTCTAAAATACGATATTTGCGTATAAATGTATATAAATTCATTAGAAGAGTGTGGATATATACCTAACCATGACACTAACTAACATAAACCTTCCGTAATTTATTTACTTGTTTTGAACGGTCATCCGCTCTATTTTTTCCCCATCTCCTTTGTCATGCATCTTTTATTGCTAGCTGCAGTTCAATTCTTATCTGAAAAAAGGTGGAAAAATAAAAGTGGAGAATGAAAGTTGCTATTAGTTGTTGCTATATTTTCATTGTAACAACCACTATTTGTTATTTCATATAAAGGTTTAAGAATAGACTTCTCCCCGATCAGCGATTTGTACGTTGCCAAATTCATTATTCGCGTATAATGTGTAACTTTCAATTAAGACGAGCTTGTGAGAAATGTAGACGTAGGTCTATGCAAAAATGGAAAGTCATTATGTTTGCAAATTAAGCACCAGAAAGTAAAAAAGGCCAAATGTTCTCGGCACATTTTAATTTTTTATTGATGACTGTAGTGCAATTATCGAATTTTTTTATTGTTAAATGAACACACACCCGAATGGGTATGTTTGTGCATAAACAGATCTAACGCCAAAAGATCACAATGACTAGGTCGAACTTACTAGTTCTTATTCTCCCCCCAAACTTAGATTATGATTGTGTAAAAATAATAATAATTGTAAATTAAAGAAGAAAAAGAAAATTAACCAAGGGAGATAATTTTTTTTATATGCATGGTATGAGGTTTGTAACAGTTGCAAGTATAAATTATTTTTTTAAATCGCTTAGTTAAAAGTGCAATATTTGAATATGTATTTATTTCTAAATTGAAAATTATAATGCATACGCCATATCTCTTATCTCTAATGTTTGAATACATGCATAATTTATGCACAATACTATATTTTATTTGAAAAAAGTAATTAATGGAAGTCCACTTTTTGCGGAGATGGATCTAGGGATAGAAACAATAAATATTAGAAAAACAAAAAGTAACAAAAAAGAAAGGTTGTAATGGTAGTACTCTCCAAAACATTATTTCTATTATTATTAGTATTGAATTAAAGTAGTTGGTTCGTCATTGCATGTACGCGTTTGCTTATGATTCGGTGATTAAATTTTATCTTCCCTTAAAATTTTCTGTCCATAAACCAAATTAGTAATTGCGTGTGTGTGTGTATTGGCAAATTGGCCTCCACATGAAAGGTTTTGCTGTCATGCTACGTATTTATTTTTCCACTCCTTTACTCTCGTCACCCATTTTAAATAAACTGTATTATATCAAACTCTCCTTCTCACTTATTTATTATTTTTCAGCTCATTCCAAATTGTAGGATTGTTTATTTAAGGATAACTATGACGTTTTCAGTTGACTTTCACTTTAATAATTTGACAAAGTTTCAATTTTGATCGGACTCCTAAAATCATATGATACACATATCTAAATGACTAGCTCATGTGTTCCACTCGACTCGGTTTAAGTTTGTTTAAGCTTCGTTTAAATACTAATCGTTTAGATACTAATGAGAAAAAATATATATTTTATGCTCGAGTACATTTATCAGTTCATCAACTTAAAGAACCGAACTTTAATCGTCTATTTAAGACTCGGGTTCGAATATATATGCTCGTTTACAGCTCTTTACATACCGAAGAAATGCACAAGTTGTAAAATCTTTTTCATTTTGATTGGGGGAGGCATTTACCCCCTACCGTTGACTTCCGATTATCATAAGTTATATTAGAAAACTAATAATAACTAAAATAAAATTCTGCTACCAACTAATGATAATTGATAATTGACCCTAGCGTACCCAGAACATCGCACTTGATTTAATAACTCTTATTTCCATCTTTAATTATTATTGATTTCCCTTAAAAACAAAACGACCGATTGAAAGTCGCATTTTGGAATGTGGACTACTTGCGGACGTCTTATCAATTATGGCAAATTGGCAATACAGTTAATACAAGATTAGGTGAAGAGAGGAGAAAATGCATGAACGAATTCTATAATCATCAGCTACAATAATTCACTAAATATCTAATTTTGTAATAGTTTTTTTTTTTTTTTCTTTAAGTGCGAGGTTTGTTTTGTTTTACAATGAATGGGCAGCTGAAGATCAAATTTGGCTTAAGTTATTAAGGATAGAAAGTTAGCTCTTTTATTTTGAGATTTGAGATTATAAAATCTTAAAAAGCTATACTTGAGAAGCTTGAAAATTATGATCATTTATGTTATTTTATAGCATTGCAATATTAATCTTCTTGCTTGTAGTAGACAATCAAAATCTATGCCAGTTTTATATAATTTTTTTTAATATATTAATTTGTGTTTATTTTTTCCAAATATTTCTAATTTTCAACAATAAAATCATATGTATATTTTATGCAGTAAATACTTATGACAAGATACAATCTATCTATATATTTATAATTGCTGGGGGTTGATTATATACTGCGAGTGTTCACACTAGGGGCGGTACCGTAATTAACTAAATCTTTAAGTGTGAACGCAACAAACCAAGTAATTACGGTACCGCCCCTAGTGTGAACACTCGCAGTATATAAATCAACCTCGTCTTGCTTGAATTGGTTTGTTGTTACTTGGTTTGTTGCGTTCACACTTAAAGAGTTGGTTAATTACGGTACCGCCCCTAGTGTGAACACTCGCAGTATATGAACAACCTCGTCCTGCCTGCTTAAAAACAATTCAAGCAGGACGAGGTTGTTTATATACTGCGAGTGTTCACACTAGGGGCGGTACCGTAATTAACCAACTCTTTAAGTGTGAACGCAACAAACCAAGTAATTACGGTACCGCCCCTAGTGTGAACACTCGTCCTGCTTGAAACAACCTCGTCCTGCTTGAAACAACCTCGTCCTGCCATTGTTTATATACTGCGAGTGTTCACACTAGGGGCGGTACCGTAATTACTTGGTTTGTTGCGTTCACACTTAAAGAGTTGGTTAATTACGGTACCGCCCCTAGTGTGAACACTCGCAGTATAACTTCAACCTCGTCCTGCTTGAATTGGTGCGAGTGTTCACACTAGGGGCGGTACCGTAATTACTTGATTTGTTACCGCCCCTAGTGTGAACACTCGCAGTATATGAGCAGGACGAGGTTGAAAGTTATACTGCGAGTTTCAATAATTTTTATTCAGCCAGCAATTAATAATAATAGTAGTTCATTGAATAAAAATAGGTGTTTATTTAATAAAATTATGTTCACCATTTAATAAAAATATGTAACTTTCAGTTATACGATTTATTTTGAAGTGTCCCATTTTTTATGGTGTCCATTTCTCTAACGCCTTCTTATGTCATTAAATGCAAATATTTTTGTTTTTATTTTGATACTATATATATTTTGGTATTATATAAATACATATTTCACAACTAATTAGGAATGACTACAAATATTTCTATTTTCTATTGCAGTCAACAATAATAAAAAAAAAATTAATTTAGATATTACAACGATACATCAAATATTTGGAAAAATCAAATCCCATGAAATAAACCCTCCTGCAAAATGGTCCTGCAATATATTTAAAAGTTTTAATATTATATGCATAATATAACTTTTAATACTTTATGTTTAAAATTTAATATCATTATCTAATTTATATTTAATATTATATGTTAAATAATATATAATATTTTATTTATATTTGTGCAAATGCACATGATCGAATACTAGTTTTATTTAGACTTTGAGGTATGAAATCTACATATAATTATTTATTTTTGTTATTTTAATATAAAATCAAATATAAAAATAGTAAATATGTAAATTTAAAGTCCAAATCATTGAATACTAATCCAATGAGCTAGATGTAGATTGGGCCAGCCGATGATTAAATTTATGACACTCCAAATCAGTCTAATTAAAAAAATAAAATAAAAGACAGTAAAGTAAAGATGACTTAAACTTGTTTGTATCTACATTTTTTTTTTTTCAGTTACAAGTTACAACATGTAGGGGTAGTATCGGTTCGGTTACCGAACCGATAAGCACATACCGATACCGTACTAATAATGTCGGTAACTTCGGAATGCAAAATCCATACCGAACCGATTAAAGTCAGTTACCGAAAATTCGGTAACCGAAAACTCGGTTCGGTATCGGTTTTATACCCAAAAAACCGAACTGATTTTGAGCACAAAAAAAAAATTGCTAGTGTTTACTTTTCTCGTAATTCTTGTGATTTTTTTTAACTTCTTACCAATTAAATAAACACAAAAGACTCACATCCATTGAAGGATTAAAAAGCTTAAATTTAATGTATAGAAGTTAGTTTATATATTATTAGATTATGGTTTTTGTGGTAAACGCAACTAATAAAACAATATATTGCTAACATGCAAGAAATAAAATTTGTGATACAACTGCAACTAACTTATCTAGTAACGGTGGTACGAGAATAGACTACAGTAATAGTAGCATACATCATCTTTAAAAGAAGTGAGACTGGTAAACCAACAATGTTTCGATTAGAAGGTGAATGAGGCGATAAGTAATGTTATTTTTCTCATCATTTTGAGATTTAGGCAGGATTGAGCCCTTATTTCAATTTTTGAACACTAAACAACTAATTATTGTTTTAATATTTAAAAAAAATATTTGTTTTATTTTTTTTACCCTTATCGGTTCGGTATGAGTTTTACCGAACTCTTGTGGGTTCAAACTGATACCATACTGATAATGATTTGGTAACCGATAGTCAGTTACCGTTACAAGTGGTTCGGTACGGTTCGGTTTATTTTCTTGTCGGTTCGGTGTGTTCGGTTCGATTCGATTTTCAGTTTTCGGTTAAAAAATGTAAGCCCTAACAACATGCACCACTTGAGCTACTAACCTAAAAGATAACATTCTGTTCTCCTAATTTTTTCGTGCTTCCAACTGATTTTTGTTTTACCCATAGAAACATTAATTTAAATATCTTTAGTAAATATTTTGCAGGCAAAATTCTACTGAAAATGTCAGCAATGTAACAGAATCTATTGCCATTTATGGTTCAAGAACACAGCACACAGTAGATGGGGTATGGGGCAAAACCCATATAGAAAGAACAAACTGGTGATTGATATTAAAATGCCAGCTTGTATTGAACTGTATATCCCCCTCTTTCCTCCAATCACAGGGCCGCGTACTAAATTATTTTTGCAATTATACGCTCTACTTGAAAGCTGCACTGTATTGTATTGTGCACTGTAGAAGTGTAGATCCCTTTTTTGACTCTCCCCCCCTCTCTCTCTCTCTCCTCTCTCTNTTTTTTTTTTTTTTTTTCCTTCTATTTCCAAAGAAAAAAAGCTCTATATATTTTGGCTATTGTTCTCTTTCTTCTTTGGACGCTCACATTGGTACATTGGCTATTTTGGCTTGAACCTTTGAGTGCACAAAGAATAAGGTTGTGGGCTGTCCAAGATCTTGAATGTGAACCATCCTCGTGGTTCAGTACACTCTGCATTACTCCAAATCTTGGTCAAATATTCGTAAAATTCACATTTTTAAACTTAGAATCTTGCAATTGCTTGATTGACAGCAAAGATTTCTAATTTTTTTTTTCATCTGAGGTGCTTCTTTGTAGCTTCAACTGAAGAAAGGGGGGAAAATAGAGTCTTGCACCATATTCATGAAAATTCTTGGTCAACCTTCTTGTTAATCAGCAATGCATTGTCCCAAGGCGATGGCCCAAAAGCTTCGCTAGTGGATTTTCCTTTAAAGGCAGAATTTTTTTAGCTTAGTTTATCCCTTTTTCAGTTCTTAACGAGGGTATCGATTTGTTTGAGCTGTGAAAAAAATGGAAGAGACATTTGTGCCCTTTCGTGGGATTAAGAATGACATTAATGGGAGGCTGCTCTGTTACAAGCAGGATTGGACTGGTGGGTTCAAAGCTGGATTCAGGTATTCACTCGGTTTTGGTAAATTCTTTCTTGTTTTGTATTTTGACCAATGATGTTCTTACATGTGTCAGTCATTTGCAAAAGTCTGTTCTTGTGTAATGAATTTAGTGTGAAATTGATCTCAGGATATTGGCACCTACGACCTACATATTCTTTGCATCGGCTATTCCAGTGATTTCATTTGGAGAGCAATTGGAGAGGAACACTGGTTAGGAAATTTCTTTCTTTCTTTNACGTCAAAAAGAGATCTTGATGTAGTGCTTTAGTAGCCTATTGTCTTTGTTATTTCAAAATTAGTAAAAAAAAAAAAATGCAGATGGAGTTTTAACCGCCGTGCAGACTTTAGCATCGACCGCGGTATGTGGAATTATACACTCGATAATTGGAGGGCAGCCTTTGCTGATTCTGGGAGTTGCCGAGCCTACTGTGATTATGTACACCTTCATGTTTGACTTTGCTAAACAAAGACCTGAATTGGGCCGTGACATGTTCCTTGCATGGACCGGATGGTGAACCTTATTTCGACCTTCTTACACGCCACTTCCTTGTTTCTGAATATATTTTTTTTTTTTTAAATCATGAATCGGCTAAAAAGCTGTTTATGCGATGAATTATTTTAGGGTGTGCGTATGGACTGCGGCATTATTGTTCTTGCTGGCTATTTTAGGAGCTTGCTCTATCATCAACAGATTTACCCGTGTGGCGGGAGAATTATTTGGGATGCTTATAGCAATGCTCTTCATGCAGCAAGCAATCAAAGTATGCAAAAATCGCTCGATTTTTTGCTTTTTCCAAATTGTACCTTTTTTTATTCTTTATCGAAATTCATGTTCACGGTGCATGGTTTTCTCATAGGGGCTTGTAGAGGAGTTCCGCATACCAAAACGGGAAAATCCGAGCCTGACCGAGTTTATGCCTTCATGGCGTTTCGCAAATGGGATGTTTGCTTTGGTTTTATCTTTTGGCCTACTGCTAACTGCGCTTAGAAGTCGAAAAGCCCGGTCTTGGCGCTATGGGTCTGGTGAGCAGTTTTATATGAGCAAATACATGCAAAATCATAAAATTAGTGGGATATTGCCTTTTTGCTTCAACTCTTATAAATATAGTTTGACAACAAGAAAAAGCTTTCCTTTTTCTTTACTAATGCTATTTTTAAGTATTTCAAGTAAACTAGAGTCTTTAAATCAAATCTTCTTTTCTTTTCTGTATACATTTACACAGGTGTTGCACCCTTTATGAGGGATTTGTGGTTCATAAACTCATTATTCAATTAATGTTTTTTTTTTACAGGTTGGGTTAGGAGCCTTATAGCTGACTATGGAGTGCCACTAATGGTCTTGGTTTGGACAGCAATATCATATATACCTGCTCAAACCGTACCAGAAGGCATTCCGAGACGGCTGTTCAGCCCGAATCCATGGTCACCTGGTGCATACGCGAATTGGACCGTTATAA